ACACTCACCCACACCGCCGCCCACGCCGCCACCCGCGACCCCACCCACATGACCTGTCACGGAGAGAGAGACGGAGCAGCGTTAGTGTTGGTTACAGACAGACAATATATATACAATCAACTGTGTACCATCATGACAATCTTAGTACTGGACGCACTCCTGTAAATGCTCTCAGTAACTTAACCCATTTTGAATCAGTATTGTAATTATGGGAATGGGTGGGGGGGAGGGGGGGAATTAACTTGTTAATGTCTGGTGTAGGAGAGCCATTAGACGCGCGTGTGTGTACTCACCTAATTGTGCTTGCGGGGATTGAGCTTTGGCTCTTTGGTCCCGCCTCTCAACTGTCAATCAACTGGTGTACAGATTCCTGAGCCTACTGGGCTCTATCATATCTACATTTGAAACTGTGTATGGAGTCAGCCTCCACCACATCACTTCCTAATGCATTCCATTTATTAACTACTCTGACACTGAAAAAATTCTTTCTAACGTCTCTGTGGCTCATCTGGGTACTAAGTTTCCACCTGTGTCCCCTTGTTCGTGTTCCACCCGTGCTGAAGAGTTTGTCTTTGTCCACCCTGTCAATTCCCCTGAGGATTTTGTAGGTACTAGTAGTTATCATGTCTCCCCTTACTCTTCTGTTTTCCAGGGACGTGAGGTTCAGCTCCTGTGTGAGTGTGTGTATTATTATTATTTTGTATTAATCTCGTACACTTCATATATATATTCCTACAAGCCATCCTCCAAAAATAATTGTTTTTGAACCAACTATGGTAAACGTACAAACATGGACTGTTGTACCCAAAATGTTGATGTTTTATACATTTGGAAATACGACGCAGGACAAACCAAAAAGGTGAATCTTGAGGTTATCTTGAGATGACTTCGGGGCTTTAGTGTCCCCGCGGCCCGGTCCTCGACCAGGCCTCCACCCCCAGGAAGCAGCCCGTGACAGCTGACTAACACCCAGGTACCTATTTTACTGCTAGGTAACAGGGGCATAGGGTGAAAGAAACTCTGCCCATTGTTTCTCTCCGGCGCCCGGGATCGAACCCGGGACCACAGGATCACAAGTGTAGCGTGCTGTCTGCTCGGCCGACCGGCTCCCTAATAACTATACACAATAACTATACAACCTATCCTGTCCTAGGCCTAATATACGCCATCTCAGGCGTAGTAATTTAGAACAGATATATGCTATACTAGACTCAGGAAAGTCTTCGTGTTTGTACGTTCCATAAATAGTTGATATAAGTACTATAAGTTTTTATGACAAGTTGTTATGGTGTATTTTTATCTTACAAAGTAACACAAAGTAGAAATGAATATGAACGAATACAAGGTCAGGGTATTGTATTCACCCGATGTTCACCCGAACATTGTGAACATCGGAGCCCCATAACTTGTCGTCCTCCACCCAACAAATAAAAGAAAGTGGGTTGGAACGACGGTGAAAGCTTTCAAGAGAGAGCTGGATAAGCTTCCGCTGGTGCTACTGGATCAACCTGGCTGTGATGACTATGGGGGCCTTCAGGGCTACCAAGACAAAACAGCCTCACAAATCAGGCACTCAGCAGGTAAACCAGGCATTCAGCAGGTAAACCAGGCATTCAGCAGGTAAACCAGGCATTCAGCAGGTAAACCAGGCACTCAGCAGGTAAAGCTGTCGGAGTACAACTCTCGAATTCGTCAACAAATGTTCACATGCAACAGGTAATCAACAAGTAACAACAGTAGAAGGTGAAGGGATGACGACGTTTCGGTCCGTCCTGGACCATTCTCAAGACAATCGACTGGAGAATGGTCCAGGACGGACCGAAACGTCGTCGTCCCTTCACCTTCTAGTGTGTGGTCTGGTCAACATACTTTAGCCACGTTATTGTAACTCATCGCCTGCAAGTAACAACAGATTCATTTACGCTTCGTTTTAGACTTCATTTATATTTTCATATTCTTAACATTACCATTCGTCCCATTCTTTAACTTCTTGCTTTTCTAAATTCGTAATAATATTATTCTTTTATCTTCCTATATTGCTTGATTGAATTCACATTCGCGATCACTTCCTCATTCGTGTGCTCCAGCAGCGTCCGTGTGTGACTTCCACACGGTTCTGTGCTCTCTTGACCACCTAACTATACCTCCTCGACACTAAACTTCTGCGGAAGACAACTCAGGCCACCTTGATACTATAGGCTCCTTTGACGTGTGTGTCAGGGTCACTTGGTCCAGGAGGAAGTGAGAGCCAATGAGTCTCAATCTTCCTGCACAAAAATGTTATGACTGATGCTCCTGTTAGCAACATCAGCTATTACACAAACAAACCTGATGCTTTTCACCTATACTGATGCAAACAAACAAACAAACAATAACATGATGTGATAATACAAACAAACCTGATGCTATATATATATATACTATATATATATATATAGCGGTAAAAAGCAAAAACCCAGCTATATATATATATATATATATATATATATATATATATATATATATATATATATATATATATATATATATATATATATATATATATATATATATATATATAATGTGTATATATATATATATATAAAGCTGCATGAACGCGCAAGCCATAGACCACTAAGAACTCTTTGACCCGGCCAGGATTCGAACCCATGCCATCTAGGATCACCCTTAAACGTACACAGTACCGTGACCACCGCACCAATGATCGTCTTCATCATTGAACTGCACCTCAAGTCGCTGGAAGACAGAAGAGCTCGGGGAGACATGATCACCACATACAAAATTCTAAGGGGAATTTATAAGGTAGACAAGGATGTATTATTTAACACAGGTGGTACACGCACAAGGGGACACAGGTGGAAGCTGAGTACCCAAATGAGCCACAGGGACATTAGCAGGACCTTTTTCAGTGTTAGAGTAGTTAATAAATGGAATGCATTAGGCAGTGATGTGGTGACTCTATACACAGTTTCAAATGTAGATATGATAGAGCTCGAGAAGCTCAGAAATCTGTACACCAGTTGACTGACAGTTGAGAGGCGGGACCCAAGAGCCAGAGCTCAACCCCCGCAAACACAACTAGGTGAACACACACACATACACACACACACACACACACACACACACACACACACACACACACACACACACACACACACACACACACACACACACACACACATACACACACACACACACACACACACACACACATAGTGTGTGAGTGTGTGCCTTTGCCTTTGACACAGTACCCCATAAGAGGCTGGAACATAAGCTGGAGAGTCAGGCAGGAGTAACTGGTTGGGCGCTCCAGTGGATAAGGGAGTACCTTAGCAATAGGAAGCAGAGAGTTACAGTGAGGGGTGAGACCTCAGACTGGCGTGAAGTCACCAATTTGGGTCCCATAGGGCTCTGTACTCTGTATTCAGTGTCAGAGCGCAGGCGGGAGAGATACATAATAATTTACACGTGGAAAATAGCAGAGGGGCTGGTCCCAAACCTGCACACAGAAATAACATCACATGAGACCAGAAGACATGGCAGGATATGCAGAATACCCCCGTTGAAGAGCAGAGGTGCAACAGGTACTCTGAGAGAGAACTCTATCATCATCAGAGGCCCGAGACTGTTTAACACGCTTCCACAACACATAAGGGGTATAACTGGCCGACCCCTCACAATGTTCAAGAGATAAGCTCGATAAGCACCTCCAAAGGATACCTGATCAACCAGGCTGTGACTCGTACGTCAGGCTGCGAGCAGCCGCGTCCAACAGTCTGGTTGATCAGTCAAGCAACAAGGAGGCCTGGTCGACGACCGGGCCGCAGGGTCGTTGAGCCTCGGAATCACCTCAAGGTAGGACCTATCCTGTTTCTGATATATGTAAATGATCTCGCGTAGGGTATAGACTCATTCCTCTCAATGTTTGCTGACGATGCCAAAACTATGAGTACGATTAAGACAGAGGAGGACTGCTTGAGGCTTCAAGAAGACCTAGACAAGCTGCAGGAATGGTCGAACAAATGGTTGTTAGAGTTTAACCCAAGCAAATGTAATGTAATGAAGATAGGTGTAGGAAGCAAGAGGCCAGATACAAGGTATCATTTTGGAGATGAAATTCTTCAAGAGTCAGAGAGAGAGAGAGAAAGAACTGGGGGTTGATATCACGCCAGACCTGTCCCCCTGAAGCCCATATCAAGAGGATAACATCATCAGCATATGCCAGGCTGGCCAACATAAGAACGGCCTTTAAAAACTTGTGTAAGGAATCATTCAGAACTTTGTATACCACATATGTCAGACCAATCCTGGAGTATGCGGCTCCAGCATGTAGTCCATAGCTAGTCAAGCACAAAAATAAACTGGAAAAGGTTCAAAGGTTTGCCACCAGACTAGTACCCGAACTGAGGGGTATGAGCTACGAGGGGAGACTACAGGAGATAAACCTCACGCCACTGAGAGACAAAAGAGTTAGAGGGGACATGATCACCTCATACAAGATTCTCAGAGGAATTGATAGGGTAGATAAAGACAGACTATTTAACACAAGGGGCACACGCACTAAGGACACAGTTGGAAATTGAGTGCCCAAATGAACCATAGAGACGTTAGAAAGATTTTTTTCTGTGTCAGAGTAGTAGACAAATGGAATGCATTAGGAAGTGCTGTGGTGGAGACTCCATACACAGCTTTAAGTGTAGATATGAGAGGCGGGTCAAAAGAGCCGAAGCTCAACCACCACAACACGCGAGTACATGTAGGCGAGCACTTGTGCGTGGGTAGCCCGATGGCCTCGTCACATACTTCACCGAACACGTACTGAACACGTTCTGAGCACGTACTGAACACGTTCTGAGCACGTTCTGAAGATCAAGTGTGAGGGTAAAGGTATTTGCCTGGCTGTTGATGGCTCCCTGGGGCACGGCATTCCATTCACTTGCTCCTAGTTGTGGCCTTCACCACAGGGGGGGGGGGGGGCAGGGGGGGCCACTTGCCCTTATATTCCTGCCCATCAGACGAAATATGCCCATGCAATATATTTTTAACTATAATTACTCAAGGAATGGTTATTTCGAAACCACAAACGATTTATATGTACGATATATGGTAAGTCTAGTTACAAATTAAACTTGAGGCATAAAATATTGAATCACGTAGGTACCGAGTTAAAAACAAGAAACACACAATACAAAAGTATTCTCCGTATAATACTCAAAAAAGCATTTAAGATGAAATCTTGCCTTAATAATCGAAATACTTATCTTCCCCCCCAAAAAAAAACTGTGCGAGATGCAATATGATGGAACATATTGAAGAGTGGGAGAGGTGGGAGGAGAAGGAACAGGACAGGAATGAGACGGTGTTTGAGGACTGACGGAACACAGCCGGAGCACTTTGCCACTGACGGAACACTCCCGGAGCACTCTGCCACTGACGGAACACTCCCGGAGCACTCTGCCACTGACGGAACACTCCCGGAGCACTCTGCCACTGACGGAACACTCCCGGAGCACTCTGCCACTGACGGAACACTCCCGGAGCACTCTGCCACTGACGGAACACAGCTGGAGCACTCTGCCACTGACGGAACACAGCCGGAGCACTCTGCCACTGACGGAACACAGCTGGAGCACTCTGCCACTGACGGAACACAGCCGGAGCACTCTGCCACTGACGGAACACAGCTGGAGCACTCTGCCACTGACGGAACACAGCTGGAGCACTCTGCCACTGACGGAACACAGCTGGAGCACTCTGCCACTGACGGAACACAGCTGGAGCACTCTGCCACTGACGGAACACAGCTGGAGCACTCTGCCACTGACGGAACACAGCTGGAGCACTCTGCCACTGACGGAGCACTCTGCCACTGACGGAACACAGCTGGAGCACTCTGCCACTGACGGAACACAGCTGGAGCACTCTGCCACTGACGGAACACAGCTGGAGCACTCTGCCACTGACGGAACACAGCTGGAGCACTCTGCCACTGACGGAACACAGCTGGAGCACTCTGCCACTGACGGAACACAGCCGGAGCACTCTGCCACTGACGGAACACAGCTGGAGCACTCTGCCACTGACGGAACACAGCTGGAGCACTCTGCCACTGACGGAACACAGCCGGAGCACTCTGCCACTGACGGAACACAGCCGGAGCACTCTGCCACTGACGGAACACAGCTGGAGCACTCTGCCACTGACGGAACACTCCCGGAGCACTCTGCCACTGACGGAACACTCCCGGAGCACTCTGCCACTGACGGAACACTCCCGGAGCACTCTGCCACTGACGGAACACTCCCGGAGCACTCTGCCACTGACGGAACACTCCCGGAGCACTCTGCCACTGACGGAACACAGCTGGAGCACTCTGCCACTGACGGAACACAGCCGGAGCACTCTGCCACTGACGGAACACAGCTGGAGCACTCTGCCACTGACGGAACACAGCCGGAGCACTCTGCCACTGACGGAACACAGCTGGAGCACTCTGCCACTGACGGAACACTCCCGGAGCACTCTGCCACTGACGGAACACAGCTGGAGCACTCTGCCACTGACGGAACACAGCTGGAGCACTCTGCCACTGACGGAACACTCCCGGAGCACTCTGCCACTGACGGAACACAGCTGGAGCACTCTGCCACTGACGGAACACAGCCGGAGCACTCTGCCACTGACGGAACACAGCTGGAGCACTCTGCCACTGACGGAACACTCCCGGAGCACTCTGCCACTGACGGAACACAGCTGGAGCACTCTGCCACTGACGGAACACTCCCGGAGCACTCTGCCACTGACGGAACACTCCCGGAGCACTCTGCCACTAACGGAACACAGCTGGAGCACTCTGACACTGACGGAACACAGCTGGAGCACTCTGCCACTGACGGAACACTCCCGGAGCACTCTGCCACTAACGGAACACAGCTGGAGCACTCTGCCACTGACGGAACACTCCCGGAGCACTCTGCCACTGACGGAACACTCCCGGAGCACTCTGCCACTGACGGAACACAGCTGGAGCACTCTGCCACTGACGGAACACAGCTGGAGCACTCTGCCACTGACGGAACACTCCCGGAGCACTCTGCCACTGACGGAACACTCCCGGAGCACTCTGCCACTGACGGAACACTCCCGGAGCACTCTGCCACTGACGGAACACAGCTGGAGCACTCTGCCACTGACGGAACACTCCCGGAACACTCTGCCACTGACGGAACACAGCTGGAGCACTCTGCCACTGACGGAACACAGCTGGAGCACTCTGCCACTGACGGAACACAGCTGGAGCACTCTGCCACTGACGGAACACTCCCGGAACACTCTGCCACTGACGGAACACAGCTGGAGCACTCTGCCACTGACGGAACACAGCTGGAACACTCTGCCACTGACGGAACACAGCTGGAGCACTCTGCCACTGACGGAACACAGCTGGAGCACTCTGCCACTGACGGAATAAATTACTCCACCAAAACATACACTTGTTAATCTCGAGCCCAAGTGAGCCCTGCGGCCTCTCCTGGTGTGTGTACCGCCGCCTCTCCTGGCCCTCGTTCGTGCCTCCTCTTCCTCTTCTTCCTCCTCCTTCTTCCTCCTCCACCTTCCTCCTCCTTCTTCCTCCTCCTTCTTCCTCCTCCACCTTCCTTTTTTTCCTCCTCATCTTGCTCCTTCGGCTCTTCTTTATCCATGCTCCTTCGGCTCTTCTTTATCCATGCTCCTTCGCCTCTTCTTTATCCATCTTCACCTTACTTCCAGCGTCTTTTACTTTAATCTCTCAGCTTCTGTTGTTTTTCTTCCTTCCCACCGCTCCTTCCTATTCCCTCTTCCCCCCCCCCACCTCCCTTCTGTCCCTCTCCCTCCTCCGGCCAGTGGTGCAGTGCTGCCACTCCGGCACCTTTGCAAGTGGATGATGGAATGGAGAAAAGGGAGAGAGGATGAGGGGAAAGGGAGAGAGGATGAGGGGAAAGGGAGAGAGGATGAGGGGGAAGGGAGAGAGGATGAGGGGAAAGGGAGAGAGGATGAGGGGAAAGGGAGGTAGAGAGGATGAGGAGAAAGGGAGAGAGGATGAGGAGAAAGGGAGAGAGGATGAGGTGAAAGGGAGAGAGGATGAGGGGAAAGGGAGAGAGGATGAGGGGAAAGGGAGGGAGAGAGGATGGGGAGAGAGGATGAGGAGAAAGGGAGAGAGGATGAGGTGAAAGGGAGAGAGGATGAGGGGAAAGGGAGAGAGGATGAGGTGAAAGGGAGAGAGGATGAGGGGAAAGGGAGAGAGGATGAGGGGAAAGGGAGATGACAGCTTGTGGATGATGGTTGATCGTGTCAGGAAAATATTAGTATTACAAAACTAATAAGTTCATAAATGTTATGATATTTCTTCGTTATTTTTTTAAGATTCAATAATATTAAATTTTTTATAAATTTAAAAAGTAAACAGGCTGAATGGTACTGGTAGGAATCTGGAAACATAATACCCGCCGCGGGTGAACGCTTCCCGTCGTGAGACAGGTTATACAGGTTATACAGGTTATACAGGTTATACAGGTTATACAGGTTATACAGGTTATACATGTTATACAGGTTATACAGGTTATACAGGTTATATACAGGTTATACAGGTTATACAGGTTATACAGGTTATACAGGTTATATACAGGTTATACAGGTTATACAGGTTATACAGGTTATACAGGTTATACAGGTTATATACAGGTTATACAGGTTATACAGGTTATATACAGGTTATACAGGTTATACAGGTTATATACAGGTTATACAGGTTATACAGGTTATACAGGTTATATACAGGTTATATACAGGTTATACAGGTTATACAGGTTATACACGGCAAAAAGCATGAGATAAACTTGCCAACCAACTGCTTTGGATACGACTATTCAGCGATATTGTTCATGGCTTCAGCAGTAGTTCATTAGACATGTATTCTTTACTCATACAGTAGTATATTTTAGTAGTAAATACAAGGCAGGTATAACGACAACACTGCTACTCACAACTTGACATAATTTAGTGTTATTTGGGGGTTGTTCTTGCGTCGTGTGGAATGTTGAGTTGGCAACTCTGCTTCTGTGTTTCAGTGGCATTAGTAAAGTGGTGTTTGGTGGTCTGTGGTGGTCCCTGGTGGTCCCTGGTGGTCCCTGGTGGTCCCTGGTGGTGGCTGGTGGTCCTTGGTGGTGACTGGTGGTCCCTGGTGGTGGCTGGTGGACCCTGGTGGTGGCTGGTGGTCCTTGGTGGTGGCTGGTGGTCCCTGGTGGTGGCTGGTGGTCCCTGGTGGTGGCTGGTGGTCCCTGGTGGTGGCTGGTGGTCCTTGGTGGTGGCTGGTGGTCCCTGGTGGTGGCTGGTGGTCCCTGGTGGTAGTTGGTGGTGGTTGGTGGTCCGTGATGGTCCCTGGTGGTGGCTGGTGGTCCTTGGTGGTGGCTGGTGGTCCTTGGTGGTGGCTGGTGGTCCCTGGTGGTGGCTGGTGGTCCCTGGTGGTGGCTGGTGGTCCTTGGTGGTGGCTGGTGGTCCCTGGTGGTGGCTGGTGGTCCTTGGTGGTGGTTGGTGGTCCCTGGTAGTCCTTGGTGGTGGTCCCTGGTGGTGGCTGGTGGTCTTGGTGGTGGCTGGTGGTCCTTGGTGGTGGCTGGTGGTCCCTGGTGGTGGCTGGTGGTCCCTGGTGGTGGCTGGTGGTCCCTGGTGGTGGCTGGTGGTCCCTGGTGGTGGTTGGTGGTCCCTGGTGGTGGCTGGTGGTCCCTGGTGGTGGCTGGTGGTCCCTGGTGGTGGCTGGTGGTCCCTGGTGGTGGCTGGTGGTCCCTGGTGGTGGCTGGTGGTCCGTGGTGGTGGCTGGTGGTCCCTGGTGGTGGCTGGTGGTCCCTGGTGGTGGCTGGTGGTCCCTGGTGGTGGCTGGTGGTCCCTGGTGGTGGCTGGTGGTCCCTGGTGGTGGTTGGTGGTCCCTGGTGGTGGCTGGTGGTCCCTGGTGGTGGCTGGTGGTCCCTGGTGGTGGCTGGTGGTCCCTGGTGGTGGCTGGTGGTCCCTGGTGGTGGCTGGTGGTCCCTGGTGGTGGCTGGTGGTCCCTGGTGGTAGTTGGTGGTGGTTGGTGGTCCGTGATGGTCCCTGGTGGTGGCTGGAGGTCCCTGGTGGTGGCTGGTGGTCCGTGGTGGTGGCTGGTGGTCCGTGGTGGTGGCTGGTGGTCCGTGGTGGTGGCTGGTGGTCCGTGGTTGTCCGTGGTGGTCCCTGGTGGTCCGTGGATTTCTCTCTAATAATGAAGCATTTTTTCTCATGAACAACCCCATCATGGCTCCTAAGCAAACAATGTTGACTTCCTTCTTTCATAAACCAAATGAGGCGTGTAAGAAGAATAACTTACAGGAGACTGATAATGATAACAGTGAAAGTGGCAAAAGTTGTGTTTCAACAATTTCTAGTTCAAATGGACTCAAACTGGATCCAAGTGCAATTGAGAAAGTAATAGTGCTTGGAAGACTAACTTGTATCCCCTGTTCAGGTGTTTGGACTGAAGAAATGTGGAAAAAAATTAAACCTATCCATGGTTAGACTTCAGGAATGATAAACTTTGGTGTCAAGGATGTGCAAACATAAGCAATGTAACACTTTTAACTTCTAAGGGCTTAAGACTATCATATGAGTGGCAGATGTACCGAGTACGTTTGAAGTCTCTCTGAACAAAAATTGTTGATCATAAACTATGGAAAGCTCTCACTGTTGCTTTATGTGTTGAAGCTCTCACTGTTGCTTTATGTGTTGAAGCTCTCACTGTTGCTTTATGTGTTGAAGCTCTCACTGTTGCTTTATGTGTTGAAGCTCACACTGTTGCTTTATGTGTTGAAGCTCTCACTGTTGCTTTATGTGTTGAAGCTCTCACTGTTGCTTTATGTGTTGAAGCTCTCACTGTTGCTTTATGTGTTGAAGCTCTCACTGTTGCTTTATGTGTTGAAGCTCTCACTGTTGCTTTATGTGTTGAAGCTCTCACTGTTGCTTTATGTGTTGAAGCTTTCACTGTTGCTTTATGTGTTGAAGCTCTCACTGTTGCTTTATGTGTTGAAGCTCACACTGTTGCTTTATGTGTTGAAGCTCTCACTGTTGCTTTATGTGTTGAAGCTCTCACTGTTGCTTTATGTGTTGAAGCTCTCACTGTTGCTTTATGTGTTGAAGCTCTCACTGTTGCTTTATGTGTTGAAGCTCTCACTGTTGCTTTATGTGTTGAAGCTCTCACTGTTGCTTTATGTGTTGAAGCTCTCACTGTTGCTTTATGTGTTGAAGCTCACACTGTTGCTTTATGTGTTGAAGCTCTCACTGTTGCTTTATGTGTTGAAGCTCTCACTGTTGCTTTATGTGTTGAAAATGTAGCTAGTTAAGCTGCTCTTGGAAAATTGTGTGATGCCATGAATACTTCTCATCTAAAGACAACTTGTTCAGTTCTGCGTTCTGCATATTATATAGCTCAGCATGACACACCAAACTCTGGTCCCTTTGGCTTACTGGAACTACAACAGCAAAATGGTGCTGACAGTGGAATGGGACTGTATTCCCGCACTAGTGCCACAGTGATAATTAATCACCGCAAATAATATGAAAAATAAAATTTACTAGCATATCAAGCAGACAAATGACAAAATTTCTGTTCTCATTGATGAATCAACAAGCCTGAGCATTAACACAACCTTGATAGTTTACTTGAAATGTGAAAGTGATAAGGAAGGTAATCCCCATTTCATGTTCCTAGATCTAATTGATCTACCTGATCAGAAAGCAGCAACTATTGAGCTGTTTCAATTATCATGGGCTTGATGACTTTTATTTGAAACAGAACCTTGTAGCATTTGCTAGTGATAGGGCAAGTGTCATGCTGGGTGTCAAATCTGGCCTTGCAACAATTCTCAAGGAACATTACCCTGATATAATAATCTGGCACTGTCTTAATTACAGATTAGAACTTGCAGGAGGTGGTTCAGTGAGAGAAGTTCTTGGAATTAATCATTGTCAAGCATATATGGACAAATTGCACTCAGTTCACAGTAGATCAACTCTAAATCAAAGTGAACTATCTGAATGTGGTTCTCATCTTGAACAACTGATTTGCAAAACAGGCCGTGTTCTGAGCACCAGGTGGGTGGCCAGAGGCCGTGTTCTGAGCACCAGGTGGGTGGCCAGAGGCCGTGTTCTGAGCACCAGGTGGGTGGCCAGAGGCCGTGTTCTGAGCACCAGGTGGGTGGCCAGAGGCCGTGTTCTGAGCACCAGGTGGGTGGCCAGAGGCCATGTTCTGACCACCAGGTGGGTGGCCAGAGGCCGTGTTCTGAGCACCAGGTGGGTGGCCAGAGGCCGTGTTCTGACCACCAGGTGGGTGGCCAGCTCGTTTCGAACAGTTTCAGCTGTGTGCAAAAATTATGAAGCATTATTGTTTTCATTTTTAAAAAGCATTGAGAGATGAAACAAAATTTGTCAGTGATATAAAAACCTATGAAGGTCTGTTGAAAGAG